ATCTCACCCCATGGGCCAGAGTGAGTCTTTTGGTCATACCTGGCATCTACAGGGGGAAGGAGGCAATGCATTTTTTAAGAGTAATACAATCTATCACACCATCATCTCCTGACTCCTGTGACCAGATGAGTGTGAACTGAGACAAGAGTCAGGATCAGACTGGGCTACTGTGCTGAGAGTAAGAAAGGAAAGAGGCAGTTGCCCTAAATGGAGGGAGCTGGGCAGATAGTTTCATTGGGTTGCAGGAGTATCTTAATGAATTAGTGTGCAAAAATGTGCTTGGCTCAACACACTACACATCGCGAATGTCACCCTCCTATCCATCAACATAGACACAAACATGCAGGCATGTGCACACATGTGCATGCCTATGCACACATACAAATCTGTAGTGGTGCATGTGAGAGTGCATGCATGCACACACTGGCATCCAGTATACCTTCATTTACATGTGAACCCACACACACTTGCCACCCTCAGGCACACATGCACACTCCAGCTCAGCAGGGAGTGGCTGCTTCTGCGGCTAGAGAGATCAAAGGCAGCTGCTCCCTCTGCATATTTAAGGAGCCCCTGCTGCTTCACTGTAGCTCTTAGCTGAACCCCCTGCCTAGCCAAAGCCCCACTCTGGGAAATGCCTCCCACAGCCCCAACTCTACCCCAGGGAAAAGCCTTGGGAATCTAATCACTTCCTTCCCCAAGCCTTTTAGGAAGGACCCAGAGAGAGCCTCCAGGCAGTACTGGGGGGCAGTGACCTGGCCCCAGCTTCAGAGCCCCCTGCTGTAGTCAGGGGCATCCCCACTGGGGCAGCCAAGCTCAGTCCCAGGGAAGAAAAGCCACTGGCATTGGCCATTCATGGAGAACACTGATGCTGCCCAGACTTGAAGTAGGAATTGAATTTTTGTGGAACAAACCCCAAACAGAAAGCCAAGCCTGAAAAAAAAAAAAAAAAAAAAAGAAAGCCAAGCCTGGGTCATATTCCCGGCCTTGCCACAGACTCATCTGGACAACTCCCTTCCCTCTCTGAGCCAATGTCCTAGAACTGTAGCAATTCAGAGCTAAGAGAAACCATCCAGTCCAGGAATGGCAAACACCTGGCACATCTACCCCTTGCCGCAACACTTACTATGCCAGACATCACTAATCCAGCTCAGCATCCTCTCTAGCCAGCTCTGCAGGCAGCCTCTGAACAATTGCTTTTTACAAAATACTCTCTGTGTGGATGCTAACTCACCAAAGCAGACACATGAACAGGAGCCCATCATCAATCCTAAAGTAATTCTGAGAACTCACTGAACCCATGAGGGAAATGAGGCTCACAAGAGGAGTCTTCTTCTAATCCCCCAGAAGTTAGGAGGTTGAGTTAGATAAACCCTCAGTTCTTGCCTCCTCTTGGGTACAGTTAGAAGTGATACGTGAGTTTCATCTTATTTAGTGTCTCTGATCAATTGGCTGCAAGAAACACTGTGTTGAGGATACTCCCAATACCAGGCCTGGGCTCAGTGGGTAAGGGCACCATGATCAATTACCAGCATTGCCATTAGCACTAGCATGCAGAGTGGCATACCAGGCCCCAGTCTAGGTTAAGCCTCATTTATATGGGAATGAATAATACTTTCATATATGAGGACAAGCCAGGTAATAATCCTGACCTGCCTGCAAAAGGAAATTTGCTTTTTCCTAGGAGTGAAGATGTTTTGAGTTGAACTCTGGGAGGTAGGTAAATGCTTGTTTAAAATGCTACTGTCAAGAAGGAGAAAAGTCATGAACTTGATAGCCAACCACCATCTCCTTATCCCTGGGATCCTGCAAGAGTTCAATTTTATTACTAACTCAATCTGCCCATCAGAAAATATGAACATTGTATTCATATCCATACTCTCCAGTTCCATGAATGTGATGATATCAACAAGACAACCATCACAACAATTTACTGAACACTGCTGGTTACACACTAATTATCTCAGCGTTGTCTAATTCCCTCCACATTGCTGCAAGCTAGGCTGTATACTGCACTTTACAGACCAAAAAAAAAAAAAAAAAGGCGATCAGGGAAGTTATGACTTCTTCAATATCATCAAGTAGTCAGAAGGTTGGATTTGAGTCCATATCTGTATGACACCAAAGTCTTTTTTCATTATACTAAGTAATGGTCAGGTCTGAGTTAAAATAAGAGACATAATGAGCTCTGTGAGTAAGAAGCCTGGACAGCTTTGGGAAAGGGGCAGAAGGAATGTGATACTGCTGTCTAAATCTTGGTAGTGTTTCCAACATACTTCACTTCTCAAACTGTGCACCCACTCTCCTACAAAATTTAATACTAGTCCACCAGTATTACCACATTTATAGGATTTGATAATTTATATTATAAAAATTGTATTAATTTAAATTTTGCTTGAATTGTACAAATTGTTTAAATTGCTGTTTAATATAATTTATTCCATCTTTAAGCAACAAAAGGTTTATATGAAGAGAATGGAAATGAAGAGAATGGAAAAAAATACAAAAAAGCACACAGAAGAAAATAAGAAACCCTCCTAATTTCCTAATCTCTCTGCCAGAAATAAGCATTGTTAATGCTATAATGCACAATCTTCCAGAACTGCTCCACATACAATTTTTATGTGGTAAATTTATTCCTCAATACTATTATTAAAGTTTACCTTTTTTAATGATATCTGATACTATTCATTTATATCACCATTTAAGTCAATATTTACTCAATGTTTACCAGTCCATTGTGTGTATATATCATATTTACTTAATAACTACTTAAAATTGGCACTTAGGTTGTTTCCAATTAAATGTCATCATCATATAGCTAAATCTTTGTACATCTTACTAATGAGTAATTTCTTTAGAATAAATTGCTAGAGTTTGAGGGCCAACTATATGAATATTTTAAGGATTTTGTTACTTAACCCAAATTGCCCTCCAGAAAAGTGTGTATCAATTCTATCAGCTTCTCCAGATCTTTGCCCCAACTGGACATTTCACTTTAAAATCTTTGCTTCTTAACACTTGTGAACATGAAAACAGAGTGATGCACTTTGGAAGAGTCCCCGGAGGCACCCATGGGCAGAGGCATTGACTGTGGAAATGGATGTGTTGATTTATTTAAGTGGACAAGTGTCAGCACCACTTGAAACAAAGGTGCTGATACACTAGATCATGTGACAACACTCTACACAATGGCACTGCTGTACTTAGATTGAACATACTGTAGAGTGCTGTCTCCCAGCCAGACACTAAGCCCTGTGAGGGCAGAGTCGATGCCATATTTATCTCTGAAACTTACTGGAGCTTAGAGCAGGATCCCACCAAGAAGTAGCATTTCTAAATATCGTGTCTTCATGTCTGTCAGTGTTGAGATGTATTGGGACTTAAAGCATCCAGCCTACAGTCCCACTAGAAATACTAGAAAGGGAGGTGGCTTGGCTCAGGAAGGCATGGGTGGTGTTTGTCTTCAGGAGTTCTAATCTCAAGTACTGACTCTTTACTTGGAAAAGTTCCTTAATTTTTCTGAGCCTCCTTGGCTCATCTAGAAAAAGGGATGATAATAATAATGATTCTACTAGTCTAGGGTAATTAATGAGGCAATGCAAGTGAAAGCCTTTACAAACAGGCACAGTAGTGATGTTCCCTGGCTTGTGGTTATACTGAACACTGGTAGTTGATTTATGGATGCCCCTCATCTGAGGCATAAAGGTAAACTCAAAATTAATCAGTTCAAACTTTTTTGCTTTTTGAAGATCCAAATGGGAGCAGACATTTGGTGTAGCTGTGAAGATACTCTTGTGATGCCTGCATTCCATATCAACATGCCAGAATTCAAGTCTGACCTCTACTTCCCATCCAGTTTCCTCCTAGTCCTTACCCTGGGAGGCCTCAGATGATGGCTCAAATACTTGATTTTCTGCCACCCATGTGGAAGACTCAGATTGAATTCTAGGCTCCTAGATTTGGCCAAGCCCTACTATTGCAAGTATTCAGAGAGTGAGCCAGCAAATGGAAGATCTCTCTCTCTCTCTCTCTCTCTCTCTCTCTCTGTCTCTCTCTTTCTTTCTCTCTCTCCTTTCCCTCTCTCTGCCTTTCAAATAAATGAAAATAAAGATTTTTTAAAGAGTATCCCAAAACGATTAGGGTTAGAGTTTCCAAGATTTGCAACATTGATGAAGAAACTTAAATATTTTTAATCTAAGTTATTATTGACTATAAAACGAGGAAAATAATAAAGTCTACTTCACAGAAGAAATAATACATCTAATGTGAATATCCAGTGAAATAAAATAAATGTGAGGGCTCAGCCCAGTCAGGAGGCATGGCAGGAACCAAAGAAATATCCCCTACTCCTTTCTATCAACTATAAACTTGATTCCCTTAAAAATCAGCTTCAGCACCCTGGCTGTCATCTTTTGTTGTGTAAAAAATCATCCAAAAACTTACTGGCTTAAAATAACAACTGCATATTTAGCTCAGAATTCTGTGAAATTAAATTTGGTCAATTTGGGCTGGGATCAGCTGGGTGGTTCTTCTGCTGGTCTCCACTGGGCTCATTCTTGTGGTTTTAGTCAACCAGTGACCTTGCTCCATGTCTGGCAGCTGACTGAAGGTTAGCAGGGGCAAAGGAGGTAGTGCTCCTTGGGTCTCATCATCCAGCAGGCTATTGGGGACTCATTCAAATGATGTTGCCTGCAGATGTCCAAGAGCAGTAAGAGGGATAGTCACTGAGAACATGGGTCCTAGTGCCCCTCTGGTCAAAGCTACCACACAACCAAGCCCAAATTCAAAAGGTAGAGAAATAGACTCCACCTCTGAATGGGAGGACTCCAAAGTCACGTTAGACAGTGGTATACACACTGGGATAAAAGAATTTCTGGCCATATTTTTAATCCATCTCAAAAGTGAATACTTCTTCTATGGCTGTCTGTACTCTGGGATCCAATAGTTCTCCCAGAAAGTAAATCTCTGTGTTAAAAAAAAAAAAAAGTCTTCCATACCTTTCCCAGGGTTCCCTCAAATCAGTGCCAAAATGGTGCCATGATCTCCAGCCTAGAAGCCTGCTGAGCAGGAAATGGAGACAAAAGAACAAATGCTTAAATTATCTGATGAATGTCAGATACATTAAACTAATTTATGTAATAATGTAAGCACAGTGATGGGAAGGTAATATGAGAGACATAAATTATACATTATTATTGTCAGCTCTAGCACTTATCTTAGTAGCGTGTCAAAATACATCCTGATATGTTAACATTTATAGAAATGAACAACAAGTGCTTGTGCTCAGGGATCCAGCAGTGAGAAGCTGGATGTAATTTGCATGTGTGCACCAAGCCGTCATTGTCTTTGCCAGTACAGACAAGGTAAGGAGAAGAGGGTGCCCTGGGTGCTCGACTTCCCCAGAGAGCCCTGGGATGGAATCCCCTGGGAATAGGTTCCAGGGTGTGGTCAATATAGGGAGCCATGAAAGAGCATCCTTTTGAGGTCAGACTCACAACTTACCAGGTTTTTGATCCAAATCATTTCACTTCTTCAAACCTCAATTTCCATACCTGTGAAATGGGAATAGTAAATCTGTCTTTGAAAGATGTCACAAGGATAAAATCAAATTATTTTGTTTTTCTTTACACTGAGGCATCCTTTGGGTAGTGGTGATGGGAGGCATATCTGAAGCAATCATAAATATTGTGCACTAAAGGAAGGCTATCCCAAGCACAGCTAATGACTCTAGCTATTCTTTTGTTTATTTATCTCCATTACATCCACCAATTACTTTCTGATGTTCTTCATTCCCTATTGTATTATGGACAGACTATAATTCTCATGTCCACAGTAAAACACCAGGAAGCTCCTAATTAGCAACATCCTAGGGCTAGCAAGATCCACGGGGAACTTCGCGTTGATCTTGGACACAGTCAGGGCCTGGCCTCTGAGGCAGGTGAGACAAAAAAATCACTAAGCATTAGAGGAATCAGCAAACAGGAGAGAAGCACAGCCCTGGAAAGGGAATCTGGCAGGCAGGTTCAGGCAGATGAGCAGCCATCCTCAGAAGGGATAACTCATGGATGACAGCCCTGGGCCACATACACACCCTGACTTCAGGACAGAGAACCAAGAGAGGGTTTCTAGCTAAACCAAAACTAAGCCCAGAGGAAGATAGGATGGTTGTGGGTGGGAGGGAGATTATGGGGGGAAAAGTTGATACAGTTCAAAAGTTATACTTTGGAAATTTATATTTACTAAATAAAAGTTGAAAAAAAACAAAACAAAACAAAACAAAAACAAAAACAAAACTAAGCCCTGAGTCTGAGCAACCATGCTACAGGAGACTGAGAGAAGAGGCAGGCAGAAGCTCAGTGGGCAGCCCCAGACAGACAACATGTACAGCCCCAGCAAAGTCAGAAGCAGACAACAGCTGTTTATATTTCGCCCACTCAGTGTCCCCACTGGTCTGGACACAAAGGTAGGCTGACTCTACAGTGGGAACAGAGGGGACAGAGGTGGAGCAGGAGAGCAGCAATGGTCTGGAGGCTGGAGACTGGATCCCTGGAGTCTGCCTCCCTTCCTCCTCCCTTTCCTTAAGACTGCTCCCTTCTAGGTCTATCATTCCTTCCAAAGATTCACTTGGGCCAGCCCAGATCCCCTTCTGGACCTCATTTCTCCACTCTAAACATGAGTCAGAGAGTCCTTTTCTCCTAGTCTATGTATCTTCTGGACCAGGAGGATCTGAGTGATGCCTTCTTAGATATGGGATAACTTAAATAAGTTATGGTTATGCCTCCTTAGCTACCTTGTCTGCCTCACCCTATCCCAGTCCTGCCCCTCCAACTCCTAGGACCTGTGTGATGAGTCCTGGGTTACAGCTATAAGTTTATTGGAAGTTTCCAGAAAAAATCTCATACTACTCATGCTCTGCTCTCACACACCCCTATATATTTGATTCAGAAAGTTTAAAATCAGTAATTCCTGGCAGTATGGTAGCAGATTCTAAAGGAAGAGTTTCACTATCAGGACATGACCTCTTCAAGGCCAGGACACTTTTGAAAAGAACAATCTATGGGGCCGGCACTGTGGCACAGTAGGTTAAAGCCCTGGCCTGGAGCACTGGAATCCCATATGGGTGCCGGTTCAAGTCTCTGCTGTTCCTCTTCTGATCCAGCTCTCTGCTATGGCCTGGGAAAGCAGTAGAAGATGGCCCAAGTCCTTGGGCCCCTGCACCCCTGTGGGAAACCCGGAGGAAGCTCCTGGCTCCTGGCTTTGGATCAATGCAGCTCCGGCCCTTGCAGCCATCTGGGGAGTGAACCAGCAGATGGAAGACCTCTCTCTCTGTCTTGCCTCGCTGTAACTCTGTCTTTCAAATAAATAAAATAAATTCTAAAAAAAAAAAAAAAAAAGAGAGAGAGAGAAGAACAATTGTGTTACCATTTGCCCAGCAGTGCCTCATGCTTTAGAAAAAGATCAGAAAACATGTGATGACTGAGCAGTCATGGTTCTTTCTTAGGAGACATTTAATGGAGAACATTCTGTTGAGAGCATTCTGATTGGAGTCTCCAGACCAACACACAACATTCAGCCTACAGCATGGGTCAGCTAATGATAACCCTTGGAAGAAAAAAATAAAAAACAACCTCCTGTTTCATTTTTTAAATAAAGTTTTGAAAAACCCTAGCCATTCCCATTTTTTTTGGCTGTGGCTCCTTTCACATGACAGTGGCAGAGTTGAGTGGTTGTGATACAAACGGTAAAGTCCTGGGCAGAAAGTTTGGTCTCTGAACTAGAGAATCACAGAATACAAGGCATAGGCAAGGGCAGATTGCCCCAGGAACAGATCCTGAGTGCTCCATGCCTTTGCTTCTGTGACAGCGTGGTGGCTTCTCCAGTTTTCCCAGGCACTGTGTTGGCATAAAAGAGCACAGAGCCCCGCACCACACAAGGGCACGCCAGAAGGAAGGGATGCCCAGGAAGCAGGCTTCGGCTGGTGGGAAGGCCAATCCTCCCCCAATCGGATCTACAACCCCCCTGATACCCAACCAGCAGTATCGTTTTCCCCATCTCCTAGCAAAGCCAAGCAACTTTGCCCACCCATTTGCCATTCGACAAAGTCTTTTTAACAGATGACTTTTAATAAGTTAATCCATTCATTGTCTGGAGCTCTGCAAACTGACATAAAAGCACAATGACGCCTAATTAAACTTGTTCTGTGAAAACTAATTTGTCAAACCCAGAAGCACAGTTCATAGATAAATGCTAATATTTGAAAGTCAAATTAAAGTTGAAAAGGTTTGTAATAACAGTTAATTAACTCTTGTTTTGTTTTCCTTCACTGCAAACTTGAACCAACTGCATCGCGGGCGCCTCTTTAACATTTTGGACCACAAAGATAAAATTCAAAGCTTTGAGATACGCCTTTGATGTTGGTATTCTCTGCAGATTCGATATTATTTTAAGTCTCTTTGTTTAAAAATTCATTTTTATTATCCCTGCATGAAATGCATGGCAATTCCCCAAATAACGAGCCATCAGTGCAATTAACATCGTCGATCGACACCCGCGTCCTGATAATTAATACAGACGCGCTGCCTCCCCAGCGAGAACTGTGAGGGCTTGATTTTTCAGAGCAACTGTTCATTTACAGACTCAGCTTCAACCTAATGAAAATGGATTGTGAAACTTTAATGAACAAGACTTTGCTGTCATAATAATAAAGACTTTGAAACAACGCGGAGGCCTCCATAGCAAGCGTCTGGCGCTGTGCTTGTTGCTACGGTACATCAAACCAATTAAGCTGTATGATGAATATTTACACCGAGTTTTTTTTCAACTCTATGACATAAGATAAACTCGTAAAAGTGAGCATTAATTCTGCATCCACAGTCTCTGACATTACATTGCAGCAAAAGACGCATTTGCCTATTCAAGAGGCTGTGCCTGCCCACCTCTGTTTTGTCTTCATAAATGTCAACAAAGGATTAGAACGTTCTGAAAATCCAATTTGCATACACAGGTTATGAGTAAAAGTAAAAGGAAATTATCTTCCTTGAGGAGTGTATGTGTGTGTGTTTATGTTGCTTGTGTGACATGTATAATATTCCTCCTGTGGGCCTGTGAGTGAATATGCATCTCTGTACTTGGGGGAGTGTGTGCCTGCTTCATGCCTGTGGATCAGTGGTTGTATATGAATCATTGTGCATCAACGCATCTCTTTGGACGTATGTTTGTATATAAATCTATATTGTTGTCAATGTGTATCTGAGAGTGATTTTGCTGGTTGACTTGGGTTTATGTGATCATTTCTTGTATCTATTCAACAATTTTTATTGAGCATCTATTATGTACAAGACATGTAGAGTTACAATGATTATAAAATCTTTGAAAGCATATCTACTCAGAGAGTTATGGTTTTGTAGGGAGGCTATATATATATATATATATATATATATATATATATCAATTAATAGCCAATCAGAGTCATGCAGGATAAGAAGGCAGAAAGAAAAAGTGTTTTTGATATGCATAAGTGGGGCATATAACTTAACCTAAGATCAGTTAGCAGAGAGTTCTTCAGAACAAGTGGTACTTGAGCTGAGACTTGGAAAAAATGAGGAATCAGCCAGGTAAATAAAAGGCACCAGGTGCTTTTGAATTCATACGTGTACCTGTGTACACACCAGATGGATTTTGTCCAGGGTCTGAGGTCTGTATGCATCCTGTGTATGTACACATATGCACCTCTGAATACTCAGGTCTCAGTACCTAGGAATGAGAACCCTCCCTGCCAGGCAACATCTCAAAACCAGAAACCATTCCTCTGCTTTATTAATAGTCAATAGGAGAGAAAAGGGGCATGCCTTGGGAAGGTGTGAGGAAGCAATTCTGGCTCTGAAGATCTGTTGCCCCCATTTCTGTTCTAACCCAAGTTTGCAAGCCAGGCTTGCACATTCCCACCATTGCCTGTGGCCTTTATTTATAGATGCTTTGAGCCTCCCAGGGGTTGCTAGAAAACGCATTTACTCTCTGGTGTTGGGCAGAATCTCATTAGTTTAGGATTTTTTGAGTCACACATTTCCAAACTTTTCCAGAAGTTCAAGTGCCATTTATAAGCAAACTTCAATAAGTTCTGAGCCTAGCTGTATCCCAACCACACACAGCTGTGCACACATATATGGACACAAAAGAGGAAGCCCTGATAAGAGTACATTTTAAAAAAGAAAAGAAAAAGAAGGAAGAAAACCAAGGAGTTAGCACTGCTAACTCAGATTTCCCCATGCTTCTCAGATAAGCCATATCAAATTCATCTAAGATTCCATAATTTGTTTTCCAGTTGGAGGTTACAATATAATTTACCCTGTGTGTCCAGAGTGCATCCAACTACAAGGAAGAAAGCAAATAAGACCTGAACCATCCAAAAGAGTTGTCAAGAACCAATGTACTCTATCCACAGGGAGTCCTTCAGGCATTTGTAAACTCATTTGACTCACAACATTCTTGCATGTTATTTTCCCAGCCTACAAAAGAGGAGAGGGAGCCAATTAATTTGTCGAGAAAAGCTACAATTCAGGGATGTGATAAACAGAAGTGGTGATGCACAGGTTTTGTTCTGGAGCCATCCATCAGTGGAGGGAAACTGTGCTCCCCACCTTTCCTGTGGCCACGCCAAGCAGTAGTGAGTGTCTATAGTGACAACCCTGAGCCACCCGGAGACTGTTGGTTGTACTCAGCTTTCTCTGGTTAAGAAGAATACCTGTCAGTCCTACAAAAGGTACAGATTCAGTTTTGCTAGCACATACCGAGTGCCAAATGAGCACGGGGCTTGCTGCTTCCACCAGTTGCCTCTCAGAATCCTTACGGAAATCCTCAGAAGTGGCATTTGTTACTTGTAATTTAGAAAAGAGGACATAGAAGCAGAGAGGAGCTGTGTGGAAAGGGGCGAGGATGGATTTATCTTTCTCCTTCCCAATCCTTCTTCCAGAGCGAGTAGACCCCGGGGCGCTTACAAAGGAGGCTTACGACCTCTCTGCACCTCAGCCAGCAGGTGGTGCCCCATCATTTTGAGAGGCTCCTCTCCCTTTTCACTTCTGTACACCTTTGGGCAGCATCCTAGCGCCTGCTTGGCCTCCCGTCTCAGGACCAGCAGAAATAGGGGATTCTGAAAGTGAAGTGTAAAGAAAGATACATGGCTACTGTGAGTGACACTGATCAGAGGACAAGCAGCCTCCCACACATCACAATGGCTTGGTGACATCTATACTCCCCCAGGTGTTCTCTCATCTAGTCTGCACAGCCTGACAATTTTATTAATGAGGGGTTTTCAAAAAGTTCATGGAAAATGTGTTTTAAGAAAAAAAAAATGTGGGGCCAGCGCTGTGGTATAGTGGATAAAGCCACCACCTGCAGTGCCAGCATCCCACATGGGCGCCAGTTCAAGTCTCGACTGCTTCACTTCTGATCCGTCTCCCTGCTAATGTGCCTTGGAAAGCAATGGAAGCCCTTGGGCCCCTGCACCCATGTAGGGGGACCCAGAAGAAATTCCTGGCTCCTGGTTTTGGCTTGGCCTAGCCATGGCCATTGCAGCCTTTTCGGGAGTGAACCAACAGATGGAAGATCTCTCTCTCTCGATCTCTCTCTCTCTCTCTCTCTCTCCGCCCCCCCACCTATCCCTCTCTGTAACTTTGCCTTTCAAATAAATGAATACATCTTTTTTAAAAATACCCATGTCCCATATTTCAGAACTCGAGTTTAAAAAAAGAAAGAAAGAAGAAAAGTGCATGGATTTCAATTTCTTTGCATGATATAAGCCCATCTTTCAGTTTCATTTTCCACAAACTTTTACAAATACACTGGCACACCGATGTATATTACAGAACTCATCTACACTGCACCAGTCGCCATGCAAGCATTATCTTTCATCTTTATAACGCAGTAATGTATCGCTAATCTTTACAATGTAGATAACATGACTCCAAGAAATATGAGGTTCTAAGTTTCACAAATTGGCCAAAGTAACAAAATCATGAGTGTCAGGACTAGAATTTAATGCAAGGATGTCCAACTGCAAGACAAGTGTTCTTTCTATTATATGATGCTGAGAATAAGTCTGCAGCCCTAAAGGGGCTAAGGCTGTCATATCCACAGAAAGCCATTCCAATCTGGGTTCCCAGTGCAGAAAAAAAATCAATTATTTCTTATCATAGGCTACTTAAGTAGCCCAGCTTCCTGGTAGGAGGCTCTGAAATTTTCAAGTGTGGAAAAAGACCTGGTTCAATGCCTCCAGGAGCAAAATGGCCTTGTGGTCCAGCCTAGAAATTTAGGACGAGAGTCTCCCAGAGTCCTAGCACCCTGAAGCATCATCTTGTCTAACATCTTTGCAACAACTCCATGGACCTTACTGAAAAACTCTGAGAGGCTGGAAACTCCCCTTAAACAGGACTTGTACCCTTTCGTGGGGCCTAAGGGGAGGCCAGGTGCTCTGGTCAGGTCTGAGCCTTAGCAGCCTCCACTGGTCAGGACTCTCCCTTCCCCCATATAATGTTCATTCCATCAGACAGCATCTCCTCACCTCCTTCAACACTGGGGCACAGGACCCTTAGGAATTATTATCCCAAAGGGCTAAGTATCTACAGAGTTCCTAGCAAAGTACCCCAGAAGGAGAGTCCACTTAGTATATGTTAGTACCACTATCATGGTTGTTGTTTAAAAACAGTATCACAGGGCAATTAGCAGGAAGTGCCACTGATGCCTGCTGAAGACCCTAAGCTGCCTTTGATGAACATAAATTGTGCTGAAAGGGGGATCTGGATCCTAATCAGGACTCCATCATTCAAGGTGATGAGGAGGAAGAGAAGGGGAAGGAAGGCGATGATTTTGATGACTAGAACCACATCGAGAGCAGCCACTATTTCCACCATGCTTCTAGAACCTGGCATATTAAATGGAATGCTTACTTTAGAATGTAAGAATGGATGATCTTATTCCACCCCACCTCCCATTTTACAGATAAAGAAACTGAGGTTTAAAGAGTTCAGGAAATTGCCAAGGTCACAAAGTCTGTGAGAGATGGGATCAGAATCCTGGTGACCCAAGAATCCCTGAGCCCTGGCAATTAATCACTGTGTGAAAGTTCCTATCACTCTCTTGCTGTGTGAGTTCGAGTTAAACAAGTCCCCTTCCTGTGCTTTAATTCCCCGTAGTCCAAGGATTTTACAGTTCCAGCAGGCAAAGAAATTACCCAGAGAAAGACAGCGGGGTTCCTGAGGAAGCCAAGTCTCCCAGACAGGGCATATCACCCTGTACCTTCCTGTGTATGATTTCCCTCCCCAACTGCCAGGGCCGCTATTGGACCCATCTGATCATGCAAAGCAGAATGAATTATTCAAGACCAAACCTACTTTGCATACCAATTCCATGTTCTTCTGTGTGGGAAGGTTCTCACCCCTTTTAACAGTTTAGAATAATGTACATCAGATCTCAAAAAAGAAAACAAAAGTGTAACAGAAAACTGGAGGAAGAGGAATGGGCTGGCTCTTCTGCTGGTTGCTCTCTCTGGCAGGGGCTGAACTGGGGCTGCCTGGAAACCAGGACGGCCAAGGCCAGGCAGGCTAGGAAGACTTCTGCTATTGGTACTGGGCAAGGGGTTCTTGAATGTCTAGATCATGGATATGTTGAGAATCTGGTAAAAGTCATGGACTCTCACTTTCAGGAAAAAAAAAAGGCAAACATAAAATTTGTTGCACAATGACCGGATGTTCCCCAAGAAACTGAAGCTCAGGCATGGATCCCTGGCTCAAATAAGAAGGAAGGGCTCAAGTAAGACGTATCATGGAGTTTAAGGCCCATCGGGTCTTTTGGGTATGCAGCTATGTCAATGAGCACTAGGGAAGATGCCTGAGTCAGTAACCCCCCCCCCCCCCAAGTCAAATATAGTTCATTTGAGCTGCATAAAGACCTCTGTGTCCTCCATTGAGATGAAAGGTGGGCCAGGAGCCTCCTCAAGGCAGCAGAGCCTGCATGGGCTCATCTGAAAATATGTGTGGGGAGGGTGTTCTGCTCTCACTTCTCCCCAGAGAAACAGAAAGGCCTGCCCTGGCTCCTGACTCTCTCAGGAGACGTGGCTATGATTCCCTCCAGAGCTCCATGACATGCTTTGAATCTTTCCCACAAATCTTTTTGGCCTATGTTGGCTTGAGTGACCTTGTTCACGTAACGAAATAATACTGAAGACAGTGTGGAGCCAAAGAGAACCAGCAAGTCCACACCAGGTCTGAGTGTCAGGGACATCTGTGTGAGTGTGGGCGAAATCTGAGCAATTATGTGTAACATCTGCATGGGTGTGTTTGTGTAACAGGCTGAGTGTGTGTAACATCCAAGCGTTTGTGACATCCTGAGAGAATGTGTGTGTGAGATCAAAGTACGGGTATGTAGCACTGGAATAAGTATGCATACTTAGCTGGAGTCAATAAATGTTTAAATCTGTGACCTGTCAGTTGTGATTTGTATCAATTGCCCCTCTACAATCTGGTCTTACGCTCAGCCCAAGGGTCCCATCTTTGAAAATCTCACCAGGGCAGATGTTCTCTGGAAGCTTTTCTGCCCAGACTCATGGACCGTCACAGACAAGAGCAGCCAAATTCCTCCCCTCCCTGCTCTTCCGCCACTGTCAGCTGATACCCTGTAACCCCTTAGCAACAGGGGAAGCTCACCCTTGACCTTGGTGTCAAGCCAAGTTCAAGCATGATGCTCAAAGCAACTTTGGGTGTATTCAGAGCAGCGATAACTACTCTGGATCACAGGTGAGTAAAAGTGAGGTGCATAGCACTGAAGGGAGTGGTCTGCATCACACGGGTTAGGAATAACAGGGTTTGGACTCTTGTTCTCCTAATTCCAGAGTCGGGGCCCTTCTGATTATGTCATTCTCTTTCCAATCAGACTCTGCAGATATACTGGTCAGCTTTCCCCAGTCCTACTCTGGCCTCAGCTCACTTTCAAGCTGTGATCAAGAGCTCTCATATGAGCATTGATGGAAACGCTAAGCCTGTGACAGCAGAAGTACCTACACTCCATTTGCTGGTGACTTTGAGCCCGCTAGCACTGGGAATGACATGGAATGAAGAACACTGAGACCACCAGATGAGCAGAGCTATCATCTGATAGGTGCTTGGAAGGCAGGTTCATTCTGCTGGGTTTTGGAGATTGGTCTTATTTGGAGAACAAATGACATACAGCTTGCTGCATGGAAAGTCCTCCTATAAGAGCTACATCAGCCTTGTTTCATCAATGCCGATGCAGAATCCAGAAAGTCCAGGAAACAGCTAGCCTGGCTGAGCACTTCTTGTAGCTGTTTCTAAAGCTCTACCAGAAAAATGAGGAGACTCTAGCAACATCCAACAGACACTAGAAGGCATCTTACTTGACTGACACCTGGGAGAATGGATGGTTTCAGCATCTGCTGAGGCCACTTGAGGAGTTTAGCATTGGCGGCTGACTGTTTACTATTGCTTCCTCCTAATTTGGTTCAACAAGACCTGCACAGCCCATAGGTGTGCCAAACAATTGCATGAGTTAACACCTAGCTCATTCCCCCAAAGCATGTCTTCCTTTCTCAGAATTCCTCAACTGGACTTCAAACTCCAATGAGATTCTCCCTGTAAAATGGGAGCTCTCTGACTTCATGCCCCATCCTAACTCTGAGATTACACAGAACAATATCCATAACTGACACACCACTGTGAATCAGTCCATCAGAGCCTTTCCTAGGAGCAAGGTTTTATGAAAGGATGTGGGAAGCACATTCAGAACCTGGCCAAGGTGAGGGAAAGGTAGAGGAAGTGGAAACTCCGAGACCACAAGCTAAAATCCCAGACGATGGGCTGTACCGACATCTCAATTTGCAGAAGTCCTGTCCGCACACATTAAAAACGGTGATCGTTATGACTGAGCAGTAATGAAATGAGTTCTGCCTGCTGGACTCAGTTTTAAGCACTTCATATATATTAACTCTCTTAATTACTTTTATATTCAGCTCTTGGACTAACTACTTTGCACCAATAAAGTAATCCATGGGCTAAAAGATAATCAAAGTGGCTAAGATGAGTAGATATAATAGTGAAACTGTAAGAAACAAAGAAAGAAAATAGCCTATGGGTAATGACTCTGTGTCACCTATATTAGCTTGGAAAACACTTTCCTGCTCTTATTAAACTATTTTCATTGGATGTATTTCATCCTGACTGTCTTTTTCCACCTTGTCTAGAAAAACATCAAATGAAAAATGATAGATTTCTATTAGAAATAGAAGACAAAACCACCAGCACCACTATTAATGAGGTGATTTAAAAATATATATATTCAATCAAGAGTAATTGAGGCTGAACATAGTAAGTCATGGAAAATTATAAACTATGCCCACTCTAGGGCATGACTGACTATTAAAATCTTTTTCACACCATTGCCTACAGCAAGCAGCTGGGCACAATGCCATGATGGAGGTGGCAGCAGAATGGCCTCATTCCCTAGCCAGGCTTGCAAAGAAG